ACACACACACACACACACACACACACACACACACACACACTCACTCACTCAAATCAATCAATCAATCAATCAATCAAACCCCTTTTTTGAAGTTTTTTCTTTATTTATTTTTAAATTTTGCATCTGCATTTTTTTTAAACACCTCATACCCCTGCAAAAAACAGCAATTCATTTCTAAAAAAATACAGGTGAACTCAGGGACCATATATCTCACGATAAAAAATGACAAAAAGAAAATCCAGCTTTTTTTTATATATATATATATATTTTTCTTTAAATCGAATTTAGGTTTTGATTTTTTTAAAATCCTAAACAAAGTCGGATTCCAAAAAAAAAAATATGGGGTTGTAGGGCTTAAAATTCCCTACAACCCTTTTTTTTTTTTTTTTAACCTAAAATTTAATTAAGGAAAATTCTCGTAAAATCGGGTCCCCGGCGCAGACGCGGCCCCATATGCATCCGCCATCCAACATCGGAATCGCGGACGCGTCCGCGGGTGTTTCATGGTCTTTCCCTGTAAAAGCGTGCGCCTGAATTCTGGTCATATACTGGTTCGCGCGTGTAATTACTGTATTATGGTATTACCGTCTTCGCCAAGCACAACGCACGGCCATCCTGATTGGTTCGCATGTAATCATACTTCCCTTGATATACCTATGAGGGTTAATTTTGTGTGGGGAAGACTTGTAGCCACATTCGACTGGTGTGTCTCCGTGCCTGGAGTGATTACTGGTGGCGTATCCCTTTCTATTGATGCATCATGTTGCCGTCATTACGGGTGGTGTATCTCACTCGTTGGAGTGAGCCTATCCTTTTTTCTTCTTCCTTTTTTTCTTGGGTTCCGGTTGCACTGATCTATTGCTGCATCATGCTGGAGTGATTATGGGTGGTTTATCTCACTTGTTGGAGTGAGCCTATTCTTTCGTTTTCTTTTTTTTTTTCTTGGGTTTCGGTTGGTGATCCATTTTGGGTTTGTGGGAAGTAATTTCCTGTGCCATTCCTGTCTCTTATACACATCTAGATGTGTATAAGAGACAGGTGTGTGTGTGTGTATGGAATCGTGGTAACACGTTAGCGCCCTGTCTCTCTCCCTGAGTATTGTCAGACACGCCACGTGCCGCACTGGAGTCAAG